GAATGTTTATAGTAGACCAAAGGTTGTTTTGAAGCTGTTGTAATCTAATACAGATAGAAACATCTAATAAATAGAGATCATTAATTTGTTGAAAAAATGAAGTAATATGGTGTTATAATTGTATATTCCAAATGTTATATATATTGTATAGATAGAGTAAAGCATTGTACTATTAGAAATTGATTAGACAAGTTGAGATTTGTGTTTGGCAACTGTAAAATATTTGGCCAATATGCAGTTATATATAGTTTTGAGAAGTATAATATTATATATTCTGTATTCTAATGTTGAGATAATAACCATATTAATAATATAAATAATTTGTTTGTCTGTGATGTTTTTTGTATTTGTAGTATTAATTAGTTGAAAAGCTTCTTCTTGAATTAATTTAATTGTATAAGTTTGTTTGTTATTAAGTATAAATCAACAACCTAGATATTTAAAAAGTTGGTTATTAGAAATAGAATTAAGAATAAAGTTGAGAAAAGTAATAGAAGTAGGTTTGACATTGGTGACAAATATTGATTTGATAGGATTAATCTGAAGATTGACTATTTGGTAGAAGGATGTTGCCATTTGAATAATTTTTCTAACTTATTTTTGGATTGAGCTATCCATAATGTGTTATCTATATAAGTGAGAACTGAGATAGAGGCTTGAAGGTGTTGATGTTAAAGAGGTTGTAAACTAGTTTTTCATAATATTAAAACAGTATAGCTTGTAAATTGAGATGCAATTTTGTGAATAAGAGGGTTATAGTAAATATGCCAAAATAATAATGTTATTGTTTCTTCTTGATCAATTCCATTTTTAATAAAATATGAATCTGTAAGTCTAAAATTAGTTATGACCTAGTTGTGATAATCATTAAGCAGATTAGTAAGAACTTCTATTAATTTAGATAGTATGTTGATTCATATTAGAGATTTACAGAAGAGATCAGAGTTTATTGAGTTGTAAACTTTGCTTATATTCTAAGATATAAGCCAAAGTTCTTTAGAATTGCAAGAGGCTTTTTAATTATATTGTTAAATATGTAAATTGGTATTGCTGTACTGTTACCAGGAAGAGCAATATAGTTATAAGGAGATAATATTGAATGTAAGATAAAAGTAGTATTTAAGTGATTAGTAAGAAGTTTAGTATATAATTTTTTAATATATTCTAAAAGACTAATAGGTTTGATATTAGTTAAACTTTTACCAAAAATAGGTATTTTGAAAATAGAAAAGATTCTTCCTTCTTTCTATTGTTTGAGTATACTGTTAGTTGAAATGTATATATTAAATAGGGCAGTTATAGCTTAAAGAAATAGTAAACCAGCATGTTTAAGCATTTCATAGCTTATGTCTAAGAGGCCACAGACTTTATTATTTAAAAGTTTTGCAAGAATGTTAGAGATTTTTTTTTTTGAAAATTCTGCTAGTATCTCTTAATATCATTCTGAGTAAATGTTTGTTTTAGGTTGATATTTATTGTTCTAAGAAGAATTGTAAATTTGTTGATTAATTTGTCTATATGCTGTCTATTAATTGAAGTATTGTTGAATATGTGTTTTAATTTCCTATATTTTTGTAATAACAACATAATCTGTTTTGATGTTATCAAACTTTATAGAATATTTGTAGCAATTTAATATGTTGTTAATTATTAATTTTGGTTAAGACTGAAGTTTATCACATCTTTTGGCTATGTATTCATTAATTTGTTGTCTAATTATTTTAATGTTTTTGATATTATATACATAATAAAGTGCTTTCCATTCATTATTAGCATTTAAGATCCAGTTAGTTAGTAGATCATGTCTGGTTAGTAAAGAAGAAATAGTAAGATTATCAGCATTATTCAGTTGTTGAATTATGTTATTAAGTTGTATAAGTATAGGTGTTTGGTTTTATAATGAGACTTTGATTTGTCAAATTATGTTTTCTAGCTTTTTAAGACTATGATGTAAAAAGAAAACTTTGACAGAATATATGTATTAAAAGTTGTGTATTGTAATTTTTTTGTTAGGAATATATTTGAGAACAGCTGAGATAACACTAGTTTGGATTTTGTGTCATATTGTTTTTAAAGATTCTGTTGTATTAATAATTATAAATATATAGTTAAAACTAAGATTAATAGCCACTTGATCAGTATATAATTGTCAAAGTTTTTTATTTATTTTTTTATAAAAAAATATTCTTTTTTGAGTTTTGGTTATAGAACATTGTTTGCCAAAATGGGTATAAGGAAAGAACTAAGAAGAAATTAGGATTTTATAATTACTATTTGTACTAGTTTTGGAGTCATCAATATTGTATAAGATGAGGTAGTAGATAATTGAGTAGTTTGTTCAGATGTAATCAATTTGACTTTAAAATTGGCTGCTTTGCCAAGTATTAAATAGTAATTAAATATGAGTAGCTAGATCATATATGTTGTTATATTGGAAAAAATGCAATAATTTGTATTTAATAGAAGAGGAATGTAAACTATTATCAGAGATATTGAAGTTTTTCAGAATAATAGATTGTAAGTTTGAACTTGTGACTTGTTGGAATTATGAAATAACAATATTTTGAATAGTTAATCTGAGTTGAATATCATCACAAGATAGATATACTGATATAATGCGAAATTTGAAGTTATGTTTAAAGAAAAGATCAATAATAATAGTATAATCAAAAAGGTTGTGTATTTTATAAACATGTGATTTGAGCTAGTTATTGATTATAATTACAATATCAATTTTTAAGCTATTGTTGCATGACTAATAATATGTAAAATATTTAGATTTTTGCAATTTTGTTATTGCATTTGTGTTCGCTATTTTGGTTTCAATAATGCTAACTATATTAAGATTATTTGTTAGACAGAAGTTCTCCTATATTTGTTGTTTAAGGTCTTCATTGTAATCTTGAACATTGTAAATACTGATTAATAGTTTAAGAGATTTAATAACAGGAATAGATTGTAAATTTTTATCTATTGAGTTAGAAGGCTAAGATGTGATTGTATATTTAGAATAGAATATATTATTTGTATTTACAACTTTGAAGTATATAGAGGTTTTGCATTTATTTTATAATTTGAATTTAGTATTAATAGATATATAATTAATAGTTTGAGAATTAGATTGAGATTTAAAAGATATATTGAGAAAATTATTAGTAGAAGGAATGTAATAGTTTGATAAAATAATAAGCTTATATGATAGATAAATATAAACTTCTGTTTTGTCTATTTTTAGTATTATCATTAACGAATTTAATAAGTGTATAGAATTGATTTGTTGTAAATATTGAAAAAAAATTTTTATAATAGATTGAAGGTGTAGTAAAAGAAGATGATAATATTGAAGAAATTTGTTATAGTAGGTGTTCAGATCATAAGAGTCTAATAATATTGATAATGATTTGGGTTGTATATCTTTTGTAAGGTCACTTGTCATTTTAAGCTCAGTTTTCACATCTGCAAAGAGTGCCATAGCCTACCCTGTATATTGGGTCTGATCATCATTATCTTAGTTCTCTATGTAATAAAGTTCTATGTTAACATTTCAAAAAAATAAATAAATAAATAAGAAATCAAAAAAAATTATAAACTCAAATTACCAATTTTTTTATTTATGTTTTAAAGAATAATTATTATTTGATCAAAATTATTAATATTATTTCAAGTACATACATAGTTAGTAAAAGTACAATTGACTATTTATACAACTTTAATTATTGTTTATTTAAGAATTCTACTCTAAGCTTACCTGTTAGATATCATATCTGACTCTTACTTGTAAGTGTTTTATTTAAACTTTGGCGTCTTCAATTCATACTTATATAACACTAACTAATCTTATTTACTAAGCTAACCTATGCTGCCTCTTATTAAGAACCATTCAGATTGACTTCTTTTTCTTACTGGATTTGTGAATTCAGTAACTCTAAAGTTAAATAAAGTTATTGGCAAATATTGCCCAGTTAAAAAAAAACAAAAACAAAACTACTATTTGCTATATACTTACGAAACACTATCATTATTTTACTGTTCTCAAAAAAATTTAATAATGAACAGTAAAACATTCAGACTGTGCACAAATCTATAATAGTGTTCTCATAAGAGCTCTAATTTCAAACACTGATTACAACTATGCTAATGCGGAAAACATTTATCTTACATGCACAACGCGACCAATACGGCATGGCTAGTATAAAGCAGAAATAGCCATGTGCGTAATGTATAGTATATTTTCCCTTTATTAAAGTTGGTCCAACTAATCATAAAAAAAATTTTGCTAATTCAACCCGATAATTTGTTCGAAACGAAATGGAAAGTGCGTTTGTTTGTTCACTTATCATGTGCTACAATCATATCGAATATCGAAATATGTATTTAGCTCAGAACACACAATTCTGTTGACTTACATATAGTCATGCATACAACTAAACTGACAACAAAATTATGATTTCCAAATCGGACAAAATATTTAAAGCTTTATTAATCCAGTTTCCACCTCTATTAATATCATTAATTGAAAAAGAACATTAATATGACGGCTTAGAACCATAGATGAGGTGTAATTGCCTTCTATAATAAAAATTTAATGTTGAAATTAGTTTTCTAAATATTTTTAATCTGAAATGCAGTAAATTAAATAGCACAATTATTCATATAAACAATAATAACATGTTGAAATTAAAATTTTACCATCTATACTTAGACCACTCTAACTGATTCTTTGTTTAACATGACATCATGTTAATTTTTTTTCAAAAATGAGGGAGGGGATAACTGATTACGTTAACGAGTCAACTTCAATAAAAAGCAAACTGCCTTTTCATATACTTACGATAATTATGAGATGATCGCATCGAGGCTTGGACTTTATGCACGCCAACTCTAACTAGTAGAACCATTTCTAAATAAGTCTAAATAACACATGCAGTTACACATGTGAATTTCTATATAATACCTTTATATAATACACGGTCGGTATTAACTTGAATTTTGTCTACAGAATGAATCGTATCCAGGGTACTATGGTCCGCGCCGTACGGTATAGTCTTAATTTTATTTTGAGAACTTATGAATAATGACTCAAAAAGTTAAAAAAAAAAACTTGCAGACAAAAAATAACAGAACCGGATGAAATTAAGAACAGGATTCATGATATTGTTCAAAAACATGTAAAATTAACTGATAAAAATAAATGGATGGACGTCAAACTAAGTGATGCAAAACTCAAATTCGAGGTATGGTCATATATATCCTTAACACGATCTTTGCTAACAAAATAACCCTTTGGGACTATGATTTTTTATAGTCCTGAAAGGTCATTTCGTTTGCAAAGATCCCATTTCGTTCACTGCAAAATGATATTAATTAATGTACTCGATGTTTTCATAGATTCTACGAGATTGTATGTCTTTAACCGATAGAAATATTCCAAATCTAGAACTTAATTCTATTGAAACGGTTGGCGATGCCGTAAAGTTTTATTTAGGTGAAGAGAAGAAGGACCCTCGAATTGGTCACCCAGTGGCTGCTTGGTTCATGGAGAACGAAGATAAATTGCCGCCAAATATAACTTTTGTCCCATATGTAAAAGAGTTTGGGGTAAAGAGGGAAGATCGAAGAAAAATACAAAAAAAGTAATTGTTTTTGTCTTACGTAGAAAAACGTGAGCAACAATGGATGCAGCAGAATTTCCCTTATTCGTCCAAATTCAACTTTTTATGTTAAACAATGCATCCTTACGTTATACAAGAAAAAATATATTTAAAGGAAGAGCATTCGATATGCGATTAAACATTTGTGCACTACAAACACTCCAAACAAATGGAATGTTACCAATTTAAATGTCAGTGTCCAATCATGTATCTATGAGTTTAAAGCCATTTTATAGCCGTGCGAATCTGTCCGACTTTTTGACTGGAGAAATATTGATATTATAACCTTAGGGTGTTTTTAACAAACCGTTCAATCCCAATCCACAAAAAAGTTTTCCCGCAGAAAGTCCAACTCAATTTCAATCCCTGTTCCATTCGTTTCTCCTAAGATAAAGTCGCTCCCTTATTTTACTTATCTGTCGACACAATGCCTTTGGTAGGTTATTTGTCTATTCCATTTGGTTTTCTTACTCTGCGTCACTTTCAAAGTAACTGGCCTTTTTCGTTTCCCCTTTATCCTTTTACCTACGTTTTTAACAGGAATACGCTCTTCAACACAGGTAAATAAATGTGTTTACTCAACAAGATGAACTTCGCGATGTTAACAACTCCTTTTATTAACCACGATGAGAATGGGTGTTGGTTATTTAAATGTGCAAAATTTTTTATAGAAACTCGGAACTTTTTATATATAAATACTATTATATTACTTAAATATATGCTTACCAATCATTTGTCAATTATTTTTAGAGGTTATTTCCCCGATCCTGGTCCGTGGAAGATTCCTCAAACTCGAGAGGTTGTCCTCCGGGACACACTTGGGATTGAGGCTCTTCCTCGACAACGCTTCAACAAAACAAAAAGAACTCCTTATGTTCTTAATATTATGGTTGTTGGTATGTATTATTGCCAGGTTTACAATTCATTCAATTGATAAATTGTATTTATTCATTATCAACCTTATCGTTATCATAAAAAAGGCGAAAGTGGTCTTGGAAAAACTACTTTTATGAATACTCTGTTCAACACACCCCTCAAAGAAGAAATCCATCCTAAAAATCCCCAATCCACACAAACCGTGGAAATTAGTCCTGTACATTATGGTTAGTGTCTCTAAATCGTTTTTATTGAATTTAATCTTTTCATAAGCTCTTTGTATATTAAATTTATCTTTTGATATTTCAGAATTAGTTGAAGATGGTGTTACCCTCAATCTTACCGTTGTTGATACACCTGGATTTGGTGACCAGCTTAATCGTGAACATAAGTGAGTTAACCTCTCATTTATTTCAATCGTACTAATTCTATCAAAGAAAAAATAAATAAATAAACTTTAATTCATTATAGCCTTGATCCTATTGTTGAGTATATTGATAATCAGTTCGAGGCTTATCATGCTGCTGAACGTAGTCCCGAATTTAGGCGTGCCATTCCAGATACTCGTATACATGCCCTTTTATACTTTATTGCTCCAACCGGTCACGCGTAGGCTTTATTTTCGTGCATTACTCTGCTTTAATATTATCGTTCAATTTCTAACTATACTTTTAATAGTCTTAAAGAACTCGATATTAAAGCTCTTCAAGTTTTATCCGCCAAAGTAAATGTAATTCCAGTTATCGCGAAAGCTGATACTCTTACACAAGAAGAGAAAGCCGCATTTAAGAAAACTGTATGTATGCCTATGTCGTAAATTTGTAATAAATGATGACGATGATTCATATGCATTTGTTGAATATATTAATAATTCATATTTATTATCTATAATATAGATATTAAGAGATATTGAAGCTAACGATATTAGGATTTTTCCAACTGCATATCCAGATGATCGGGAAAGCGTTGAAGACCTTGAGGTATTTGTAACTACTTTTTCTACTTTGTACAATAATCTTTTGATACTAACATCAATATTATTTATTATACTGTTAGAAATATATCCCGTTCACAGTAATTGGCAGTGATCAATTTGTGGATGTTGGTGGAAAAAAAGTACGAGGAAGATCATATCGATGGGGTGTTGTTGAAGGTTAGTTTATATCATATTCATGGTTTATTACCTTTTTATTGGACTCTTGTAAAATATTAACTTATTTATTAATAGTCGAAAATGAACAACATTGTGATTTCATTCATCTTCGTGAACTTCTTATGACACATGCTCTTCATGATCTTCTTGAGACAAGCCATACAGTGCATTATCATAATTATCGTGCTCAAAAACTTCGTTCTAGTGGTCGTCCAGAATCGATCCTTGCTTGTGATGATTCTTATGAACACAGAATTGAAAGAAGCAAGCAAAGTATGGCGGAAGAAATGATTAAGAAAGAAGAGGAAATGCGGCAAAACTTTGTACTGAAAGTTAGGGAAAAAGAATCAAACTTAAGAGAAAGGGAAGAACAGGTGAGTTATAGGATTCGATTACGTTTTTTAAAATTTTGTTACTCAATTTTCTCGATTTATTGACCTTTTTTTTTTGTTCAAATAAAAATAGCTCAACCAACGTCGACAGCAACTCATGGCAGAATTAGAAGAACAACGCTTAGCGCTCGCAGCAGAGGAGCGTGAATTCCAAGAGTTATATAATGCCAATCGAAGCGCAAGGTGGTTATCTGTTTTATCTATTTGTAGTTAGCTACATGTTTTTGAGCTTATATCTTCATTTCCATAATTAGAAAAAAAGCTAAAAATTTCCTTTGTTTCTGTAGCGTCTCAAAAGGCAGCAAAATTTTTGGCAAGAAAAATTAATAATTTATAACTACTTTATTTTAATTTTTTTATTAGCTAATTTTTCTTGTTTATTCACAATGATTTTTTACGTAACCTATATTATATTTTGGTTTTTATATATGTTTTGTTTTGGAACGACTTTATTACTATTACACAATGTTAGCAATCTTTCTAGACACGTGCATTTATTATTTTGTTGGATTAGTATTGCAAGGGTTTTTTGGTTAAATTGATGAAAAAAAATTTTACAGTTTATTTTTCCTCTTTAGACTATTTTATTTGGTGTAGTAAATGGTGTTTTTTATTTTACATAATTATAAATGGCTTAGTAATTATATATTTGGTAAATTATTATGTGAATTTTTGTTATATTGCAAAAACTATAAATATTAAAAAAAACTTATACATTTTTCCATTCTCTATCTTAAGTTTTTTTTTAATACTGCAATTATAACAAAGTATCAAAAAAATTTTAAGATATGATTTTATTGTAATAGCCTTTTTTTTTACTAATAACAAATATACTAATTTAACTATTACAATTTGATGCAACTTGTTTTTTAATGCTGTTTTTAATTTTAAAATCCTTTAAATATATCGTCATACTGGCTTATTAGTAAAATAGGTTTAAATTTTCTAATTTAGATAATTTGTTTTTTTAATATTAACAGTATATTTAGGTTTAATTTAAAGACAATTTCTATTTGTGCACTACGTGTACGTACACGGGTCCTAATTAGAAAACAACTTTGGAGTTTATTTCTTGCAAAATTTTAGTATCATTCTAATCCTAGAACTATATCTTACACGAATTCATAAATTAGTACCTGTGTGTAAACACTATGTGTAAACTAATAAATTTCCTAATTTAAAAAGTTATAAACACGCTATATATATTTTAGAGTTTATATTTATAGCAGTTTTGTAAATCTTTATTAAGATTCTTGTGCATAAGTTATGCACGTTTAATTTAAATTTTTTGGTTTGATATATTTTAGTTGCTTTTATAAGTGTTTAAAGGCAGCCTGTTATATCAATTAGAAATATTACTTAAATTCAAAAGTTGTATCAAACTAGTCAAAAAGGTTGTATATAAACAGTTCAATTTATTATATATGAAATTTGTTATTGAGTCAAACTATGTTTTTTGAATTTTTATTTATTTATTTTTTTTATTATAGCTTGATTCTTTTTTATTTTATTAGAATTTTTTTCAAAACTAACTTTATTTTTATTTTCTGTTAATATTTTTATTTTTATTTTTTTTTTTAGTATTAAGGTGACCTTTTTGGTCTTTTGACTTTTATTAATGACTTTTTTGTTAATATGATTCAATAAACCATTACAGAAAAGCATACAATTGGTTACATGTATAATTTTTTTATATTGTCTATTTAAGAAATCTGTCTGAAGGTTCCTTACCAATTGTCATATCTAACATTTTTGCTTGAAAGTTCCACTTTAAACCTTCTGAACCTGTAATTTGTATTAACATTACTAATTTATATTCAGATGTTCAGATTATTATCTCAAACTTAGAACTATTTTATCCTTAAGATAAACCTTCTAAAGCTTTTTATATCTATTTTTACAATTAATTCAGTATTGCTATAGCAGAACCAACACTTGTGATCAGAGTTATATTATTTAATTATTATGTTCTTGTAGAGTTTACTTGAACTTCAACATCTATAATCTTAATACTTTAGTATACTTCTACTTTTTTATCAGACTTCTAATTCAGATAGTCTATATAAGATTATAATTAGTTCATTAATATATTAGATCAGCCTGATATTCTTTTCTTTTGGTTCATTCTGATAGTCTAGTTAATAGTAACTTTAAGTCTTCTAACTTGAAAATTCTTGTTTATTTAAGTACTATAACCTTGATATTCATTTTCTTAAGCTAGACATTACAGTAAAGCTATTAAAGATTCAGCTACTTCTTTATTCAGGTCTTCTCAAATGGACTTCTTGTTACCTAATTTCAATAAATTTATACAGTCACAAGAACTTATTTAATATTTGTATTACCTAATTGTTAGTTTTCATTTCTCTATTTAATATCTTATTTATACAGATGCTTTATAATCTGCCAATTATACTGATATGATTATTATTATAAGTATTATTAATATTTTTAATATGTTTTTCTTTTTTTTAATTTTATATTAATTTTTATATTTTTTTTTTATAAAATAAAAGTTTTATATTATCTTTTTATATATTTTTATAAATATTGTTTTATATTATATTAATTATTACTATTAAAAACTTTTTAGTTTTTTTGTTTAATTAAATTATGTTTTGTAATAAAGCTATTATTATTTTTTATACTAGATTCTTGATTATTTTATATTTTGTTTTGAATTTTTTTTAATTTATATATTTTAAAATATTTTTTAAATTGAATTTATTTATTTTTAATTAAATTTTATTAATAAATTTGTTTATATTAAGTAACTATTAGGATGTAGTAACCTAGTAAAATAGATAGATTATCAACTTCCAAGTGACAGATCTAGAGTTCAAATTCTAGTAATAATAAAAATTTGTAATTCTTTCTGTGTTATAGTTAACTGTCTTCTGTGATTGGTTAGGATTAGATATTTGTAATTTATATTATACTAATATAACTAAAAGGTCTAAACATTTGTATAATATTATATAAAGAAACACAAACTGATACTAAATAATGTGAACCTATAATAAGTTCTTAGGTTGTGTAAATCACAAGAACCAGATAAAAAAACAAAAACTTACTTAAAAAATTCAAATAAAGAGATAGCTTGAATTTTTAATAATGTTACTATAAAGACTAGACTTATAAAACAGAATTAAAACTTATAAAGTTAAGCAAAGAGCCAGCCTTTGTAAAGAGATCAAATGAAACCAACCAGGCTGCTAGAATCTGTTCCAGAGGAAAAATTACATGTCAAAAAACATGTAAACCAGAGATATAGTTATGATCTACCTTTCTAAGCTATCTAATTTGGAAGTTTAATATAACTTGAATTGAATACCAAAGTAGTAAGAATATATTATAAAATTAGTACTAAGATTGGGATAAACTTTACAAGAACATAGCAGTTCAATGGTATACTCTAATTTCAAGTGTTAGTCTTAACTATAGTAATACCAAGTTAGTTGTAAGAATAGAATACAGAAGATTCTAGAAGGTTTAATACAAGATTAAAGATTTTCATATAAGTAAACTGCTTTAAAGACTTAATAATTATAATATATTTCATTAACATCAGCTAAAGTCATTGGTAGGCAAAGGTAGACAGATGGATACAGAAACTAGAATATTTAAATAAGAAACCTACAAGCAGGTTTTAGATATAGTAGCTAGTATAAAATCTTTAGGCAAACTACTTAAATTAGACAATAACTAAAATTATATAAGTGGCTAGTTGTATACTTTTTTTATACTTGTCTTTTGTAGTTGTAATACAACTATTAGCCAAATATACTATTAATAAAATTCTAAATCACAAGTACTCATCTTAATAATAATATTTATATATTATTAAATAATTTGGAATTTTTTTTTATCTTTTAATGTAATATAAGATTTTATAAAATCAGAATATTATTATATTAATGATTTAATTACTAATAGTTTTTTGTTTATATATTTTATTAGAACTCTTATTTGCTTATTTTTTTTATACTTATATATTTGTTTTTATTTTGGTTTTTTAGCTTTTTTTAAAGAATATTATAATTTATTACTATAGTTATAAAATGCTATATCTTAATAAAACTAAGTTAATAAAAATCTGATATTAAAATTTAAATTAAAATTTAATTTCAAATCTCAAATTGATCATTACACAAAACATGTCATTATTACTAATATTATTATGATTTTAATTGCTTAATAAAATATACTAACATTCAAATTGTGAATTAATCATTACACAAAACATATCATATTACTAGTATCATTATGATTTTAATTATTTAATAAAATATATTAATGTGTGATTATAATGTAATGCTAACAAAATTTTTACTTTATATTAACAATTAATAACTAATGTATAAGCTAATTAACTGTTTTTTTTTGGTCATTAAAATTTGTTACTATAACTTTTTATTACAGATTATAGAATGCCAAATATAGAAATTAATAATATGAACAAACTTATTCCTGAATTAAATTTAGAAATAAAAAGTTTAGAACAAATCTGTTCAAATGATACAGGCTAGTACTCTAAATTAAAGTAAATTTTAATTATTAACCTAATATTTTAATATTAAATATATTATATTAGTATTTTTCATTAAAAATAAATGTATTATTTTGAAAGTAGGAACTACCTTTTCAACTTGAGATTTTATAAATTATTTCTTAAAGAATAGGCTAAAAAACAAAGCTTCTGTATAATAAAAAACAGGATGCACTATGAGAAAGATATTATTCAAAGGCAAGTATTTATTTGTATATATAATCAAAATTATGAGTCAAATTTAAGCAAGAATACTAATACAAAAAAGACAAAATGTTTCTTTTTGATTAATGCTTCATGTCCAAAAAAAAAAAATCTTAAGGCTTTAATATTTATTAATAAAATTATAGATAAGCATAATCATCTATTAAATAATATAATAATTAAATTTAAAGACTCAAAAAAATTTACAAATAAAATGATGAAAAATATCAATTTATAATTATATCATATAAATTTAATACAACTGCCCAAAACAAATTTCTTGAAAGCAAATTTTCAATGCATCTAATTTATACAAAAAATCTTTATATAGTAATAAACAAGTTTTGTTTAATATATAAGTTATTATCAAATGATGCAACCTAAATTTCCAACTGGCTCAATCATCAAAAAGAGCTTGATTCTTAATAGTTCATAGCATAGAGGTGAAACAATAATAATAT